AAAACAGTATTTTTTGAACATCAAATTACATTTTCTTCTCTCCTTTGTTGTTTTATTTATAAGGCATACTCTGCCTTAGTTCAAAAAGAACTGAAGGATACTCATTGAATTTCTTATGTGTATCAGATAAGGAACACAATAGCTAAGAAATGAATAGATTTTTTTCAAATGACATAATTTTAAAGACCATGTTATTTCCTCAAAATGTAGACCTGCTACTTATGCATTCATATACCTCGGTAACTAGGCACATACACCAACAGAAAATTTTCATGTCATCCATTCAACTCCAGATTGATCCACCATCTTCAAAAATGACAAACCCAAACTTTAAGACTTATAATGTCAACAGTTGACCAGAGGCCTCCTCACCTCAAAGTTGGCATCTTATGAATTTTGTTGAACATCCTATCCAATCTCTTTAAAATTAGGATAAGAGCCGGCCTCACTGCCTCGGCTGTCCAGTCGGTAATAGGAAGCATCTCCATAATGTAGCGCCGAAGCCCACGGCTCTCCATTGTCTGGGTGTCGTATGGCGCCAGTTTCAGAAGGGAGTGTGCAATTTCTGCCAACCTAAAGTTTTTTTTAAAGAATAAGTTTAGAATGCCCCAGCGGGAATTTTCCCACATAGCCTCATGCTGATCACCATCTCTCCAGCATACCTGAACAAAGAATAATGTTTCCACACCCTCTGTCCCTTAGTTCTGCTTGCAGGAACCAATACATTGATAGCTGCACAAGTATATTAACAGAGAGACTCATAAACTGTCCCAGGCAGTAAATATGAATGGTATCTGATGAGGAAACTAAAACCCAGAGAGATTAAGACATGCCTAGAGAATGTCACTTTGAGTGTACACACACACACACACACACACACACACACACACACACACATAGTTCAATATACATATACACACATATATGTGCATAAAGAGAAGCTGAACTTTGATATATAATAAAATCATGAATATCAAGTGAACAAGTAAGCTTCATAGCTCCCTCATTGCCATTGTCAAGGTCAATGGAACCTTAGCAAAAGTGGTATTGGATATTATTGTAGCCCGAGGAGTTCAGCTAATTTCCATTTCTTTCCTTCAACTCCTCCTCTTTGCCTCATACACAGATCCTCCCGCTCTGCTGATACTGTTTGTATAATTGACTCGGTTGGCCTGTCTGGATGGCTTTGGTTTGGGGTGCCTCTACTTCTCAGGTTTCCCAACTCAGTTCCACACAGAGACTGCCAGAGGGAAAGTGCTTCCTCCAAGTGTTGTTCAGGTTCTTAGTCACAAGGCACAGACCCCTGCACTATGTCCAAGTACAGGGTTTTCTGAGGGGAAACTGACCAACATTTGACGGGCCAATGGTGTTTCTGGCAACTAACTGTATTTAGTTGGTTAACTAAATAATCTTCAAAACTAGACATGGATTACCAATTTCCAAATAATGTGAGTATAAGGACATACATAGTCTTAAAAAGCCAATTGAATTTAATTTTTCCAGGAAGAAGAAGGCATTTAAAATTTTACAATGCTTCACTATCAGATACACTGAGTAGGTGCAGAATGTGTAGAAGATATTGAGAGGCCATGTATACCCATTCATGGTATTATCTTAAATCTATGTTGTATGATTAAAGCTTCATTTTTTCCAAAAAACATCTTATATTCAAAAAATATACCCACAACTCCTATCATGGTGGCTGACATGCCCACATCCCTTAAGGTCCTGGAAATTCCTTTGAAAACAAATTTCTTCAAGAAGGGTAAGTAAGCCACTATCATCTATTACTTGAATCTTTGGCTTGACTCAGTGGGTGTCTAGCCATCCATCCAAAATATCCTTTGGAAGTAGAATGTAGGACAGCGAGATGCTGATGGAAAAAGAGAACAGAAGATCTAATGTTCCTAGGAGAGCAAATGTGAATGGTATCATTAGGAGGTGTTTGTACACTCAGAGTTTTCAGGACTGTTACTAAAGGAGAAGAGGAGATTCCAGATTAAGGGACATGAGAAATAAGCTTTTCTAACTTTTTTTGAAGTAAATTTGCCTTGGAAAAGTCCCCAAAATAACTCTCCCAGAGTCACAGAATCTCAGAGTCAAGAGACCTTGCTAGCCTTGTACACAATGAGGTGCCACATGTTGGATGGCTGACTGGCTCCTCTTAAAAAAAAACACAGCTTAAAGTAGAAATAAAAAATGTCATTTCCCAGACCCCACCCAAGGTCTAGTGAATAAGAATCTCCAAGGCTGGGCCCAGAAATAAATAAAAAATATTTACTTTTAACTTTTATTTTGAAAATTTTGGAACATATACAAAGGTAGGGAGGCAAGTATATAATGAATCCCTCATGTACCCATCACTCAGATTCAACAGTGATCAACTCAGGGCTACTCTCGTTTCATTTATAGCCCCAATCACCCTCCTTCCCCCAACCCTGGACTATTTTGAAGTAAATCCCAAGCATTGTATCATTTTATTCATACATAGTCCAGCAGGTGTCTCTAAAGGACTCAAAAAAATCAACCACAATTATGATAGCTAACACATTAAAAAGAACTTCTTTAAAAAAAAACCCCAAATATCCAGTTTTCAAAATTCCCATATTATCCTTTAATTCTTAAATAAACATTAAAAAAATAAATCAGGATAAAACAAGGCCCTTAATTCCAGTTGGTTGCTGTGTCTCTTAAGTCTCTTTAAATTTGTAGGTTCCCCTCTTCTCTTTTTCTTTGGCTTCTTCTAATTTTTATATTGAAGACATTAGCTGTTCCTCTTGCAGGATTTTCCACACTGTGTATTTTGCTAAGTGACTCTCCAGGGTGCCATTTAATCTATTCCACTGCCCCCCATACTGAATTCAATTGGTAGTTGGATCTAGGGGCGACATCAGATAAGGTTTGCTTTTCTGGCAAATTTACTGCACAGATGATGTTGTGCTTTCATCAAAAAGCACATGATTTCTCATTGTGACTCTTTTTATGATGTTACCTGTCTCTAGTGATCATTGCACAGATCCAATAACTCGTTAGGAGTAATGCAATGGGAATAGTTTATCAGTCTTTTTCATATGTATTAACTATAGCATTTTAATAAGGAGAGAGTTCCTTTTGATTACTCTGAGATAGGACAAATGCCGAGAGGGTCTATATAAGAGATTCCCCAGGTGATTTTGACAGGCATTTTGATTTAGGAATCACAGCCAAGACATTGCCTCTCTAACACTTGAATTGCTCTGCAAATGCTCCATTTGACTTGTGCCATGGATGAAACATTCACAACCACATCATCAGACAGTTCATTCCATCTCTGGAGGTCCATACTGTGAAAAGCTGTCTTCATATTAGGTCCCCAAATTCCCTCAGTTTCTTCCTACTAGGCTTAAATAATCTGGAAGCATAAATTCAATCCATCTTGTCCATGACTGCCTTTCATTATCAAGAAATAGTTATTGTCTCTCCACCCCACTTTTCTCTCCAGACTGAACATTCCCATTATCCTTTTGGAAGTTGTATATGAATGTGAGGGTTTTAAAGAAATAATTTTAAACAGCCTGTGGATTTTTGTTTCTCTCATTCTCACAAATGTGCCGTGCAGAAATAATTGCTTTTCAAGTTATTTATGTGCCAGGTAAGAGTATGTCTATATGCATGTATTTCTTTCCCCTTATTATTTTATAGATAATATTGAGAAATGCTTGAAAACTGACCTATTTTAAGCTTGAAAACATTTATTTGTTTTTGAAATTTTGGGTCATTTTATGGATTACTACCTGAATTTCTCTTCTTGTTCATATTATGAAATGAATTTGCTTTGAGTATGAAACAAAAATTTCCTTTAATAGAGTCTTTGCTGTACCATCGCATGAAATAATCTCTCACTAGAAATCCCTCCTATGGTCCTTGCCCAGTGAGAACACAAGAGATGTTCACGTTGAGAGGGAGAGGAAGAAAGGAGGGAGAGCTGGAGAGAGGTGGGAGGGGAAGGATGGGGAGCAGGAAGGGTGAGAGGCAAAGAGAATCTGCCCATCTTACCGTTCTGCTACCCTCCTGCTTTGGCAGCTCTGGGTTGGGCAAATGAGGCAATGAATTCTCTTAGGGCAGAGACCCTATCTAATCAGGAATATTTTCCCTGAGGGCCCTGCAGTCGACCATAGATTTTGCAAATGCAGGAGTACTGGTTGCCTCAAGCTACTTTGTGGCTCTTTGGCTCCAATCAACTACTTCTTGCAAATGTCTCCTCTATCTTAATAACATCCAATTCCTGTTTTTCAGTCCTCTCTCCAAGAGTGATATTACCCATTTTTAGGATGTTAAATGTCACCAAATGCCTACGGTTCCAAAATTTACTTATTTATCTCTGACATGTATACATATCCAAACGTGTGCTTTATTTATAAGAGAAAACAGTAATTCTACCCTTTGATTGGTACAGGGCCAAAGCATATGTATCTTCCTTTACTCAGCAACATACAGTATCTTTGGCTAGACATCCTGGAAGATCCATTTTTATCAAAAGCTTATTGTAGAAATTACACTAATAGAGGTCATTTAGTCCAACTATTCCCTTGGCAGGAAAAATTTTGCCTATCCTCCAGTAAATCCAGGCCGTGAAATAACTGTGTCCTTGAATGACATTTTTCTGGCTCAAGACAGCGTGTTCTTGCTGACCTGCATTATGACACTGTTGCGCCATGTTTCAGTACTGACACTGGCAGTTTATCTACTACAGGGATGTTGAGGATATTGCTCATCACACCACTCTTTCCTTTGAACAAACACCAACCAGGAGACATTTCCTGTTCTTCATATTTCAACAAGTAATGTTCCTCCAAACATAGTACCTCACCGACAGTATGATTCTGTGTTGATCATTTCCCTCTCATGGCTTTAATAACTCAGAAGGTCAAAGTCAAATTTACGGCTTATGCAAAGCATGTAGATTTTTTGTGCTAATGTGATCATGAACATAATGATTTCTTTGCTAACTTTTCACATTGTTCTGACTCTTTCATTTGTATGTACTATCCCTTTGTATCATAATTTTCTAACTTGCCTCAAATACTTTGTAAAACGATAAATACATAAATATACATGTGATAGATGGTACTTGCAACACTGTATTATAGTTATTTTCTTATCCATGTCTTTTGTATTGGACAGTGGTCGTCTTGAGGGCCAGGACTTTGTTTTACATCTCCAGTGTCTAGCATACTATTTGGGTCATCTCATTAGCATTAGCACCCACTGAGCTATGGATTCAGTGCTGAGCTGAGCACTGAGCTAAACTGCTTAAACAATAGTTCATTTAACCTTTACTAGGGTTTGGCCTCTAGATGGCGCTCTAGGCCTCCCTGACTCCTGCTCTCCCCTCCCTCCAAAGGCCCTAAGAAGTGTAGATACAGAGGGTCAAGTTACAGGACAGTTACTAATCCATGCTCATGTTCCTTCTCTCTCAGTCTCTCTCATCCATGTTTTAGAAATTTCCTCATTTCTCCTACAGAATGGCTGTCAACAGTAGCGATTCTCTGACTCTAGGAATACGACGTTGCTCTGCGCACAGAATTACAGTAGTTAGCCCTGACCAGTGAGAAAGGAGGGGAGGGCCGACTGGAGCGCTGGGTTGCTATGAAAGCAGCATCTTAACACTTCAAACCTTCTTCCCCCTTCCCAGCGCAGGTGCTGAAATTGTCAGAGTGAAATAAACCCCTCTTCCCCGGTACAGCACAGCGGGGACTGGGGATGGGGAAGTGTTAAGCTTTGAGTCCCGGGTGCGTGCCAAGGCCTCAAAGAACGTGAAATCAGCCTGGAGGGGTATTGAGTGGGCGATCCTCCCCAACCCGGCCACAGCGGAGCCACTGCAGAACAGGCTACGAAGCTGCCCCCCCTCCCTCGGCCGCAGTTCCAGGAGGGGCTCCCCCTGCTCCCAGTAGCCAGGGCGAGGCTCCGAGGATGCCGAACGGCTTCCCGTCTGAAGAGAAACACCAGGTAAAGCAAGAACTCCAGATGGCCTGCTCCTCCACACAGGGATGCACACTCCTGCAGGTAGCACCCCCTTCCTGCCCACCGCTCGGTGAGTAGACCCTTCATAAAACTCCCTGACTCGCCAAGCTGCACTCATTCGAGTCCTTCTTTGGTCCACAGGTTCCCTGACAAATGGGGTTTCTTTTACATCCCTTGTAAAATTCATTTAACAAGGAGAATGAGCCTGCATTCTCTACACATTTCTGGCCTCTCATTTTCCTTCACTTAGTACTTTCTAAATTTTTCAAGGGATCATTTTAAGGGAAAAAAACCCTCAATCATAGGAAACTGGCATATTTTGCCCAGTTGCAATGTTATTTATGAATGACTAGAATCTAACTCTACCTTTAGCTTTATAGAGATGCTAAATTTCCCAAGTGAATATTTTGTCACACATGGGATTTTCCTTTCAAAGGATTTTTTACAAACTGTTAAAAATTTGAATAGATGTTAAAATAAAAGGATATCCATCATATAGCATTAAATGAAAAGGGGGGAAGCAAAAAAAAAATTTTTCAATAGAAGATCCTTCTCGAATGATGTTCCTTGTAAGACTCTGAAAGTACAGACAAAGCCTTAATGAGTTTAGTAAAAAGTGCAATGACTTCTCCACAGGAAGAAGGAAATATGAGTGCACAGAGATGCAACTGGGGCCTCTCCCTGGCCACTTGGAGTAAAAATTTAAATATGATGATTGGCCTCACCTAGTTCAGAATTTTTACCAGGATGCTTTTGAAAAGTTGGAAGGCTAGCATGCACAATTTGTGCCAAAGAGATCTTTGGCCCAAGCAAAGTGTGGCTTGACCTTAGACCTGCTCAGTTCTCCGTGGGGCTCATTACTAAGTCATCAGGTCATGTAGAGGAAGAGTAAGTCTTGGGAGCAGAAAGTCATAGTGCATTTTCTTGTAAAATAACAGGAAACACTGGATTCTGGTGAACACTTATAATTTGGGAGGTAAGTAGTACTTGGAAGAAGGCTACTTTTCTAAGAATTTAGGTGATGAAATTTCCCTTGCACTCTCTTTTATTGTGAGCAAATACATGGACTGTGATTTTCTGTCTTTTAAGAACTTCAAGAACATTCACCCTGAGACTCTTTTGGATGGCCTTAACAACACACATTTTCCCCAGAGGGCCCTGTGTGATACACATCCAAGCCACAGGAAACAATTCATTCCCAGCGTCCCAAGCTCTCTTCCTCCTGCCAGCGCCCCCAGACACACGGTTCGCACTCAGGGCAGGAAAAGCGGGAACAGTACCTCATGTGGGACTTCACATCCAGCAACTCCAGGGCAGTGACCCTCGGCTCCCCGGCCAGATTTTGCAAGATCTTTAGCCTTGGCCCGCAGTGCTTGTAGAACTCAGTGCAAATATTCAGCAGGGACTCGCGGGGTCTTCTGAACTCCTCCCGAGCAATCCTCTCATCCAGTTCCTCTCTGGGAAGGCCTTGGCCCTCCTCCAGCAAGTGAAGGTTTTCCCTGAGAAATTAAAAAGGTTAACTGGGGGTCTGAAAAGGCATGTGGGTGGCAACTGGGAGAAGAGAGTATCTCAATGAAGAAAAATACAAGATTCCTCCTACTCTATTAATGAATCAGTAGGGCAGGGTGCAAGAGACCCTCCTCTGAAGGATAAAGACAGTTTACCATCCTAGAAGAGATTGCCGTTCCCCAACTGTAGTGGCTTCACAGCCACTTGTTGAGGGTTTACCGAGAAGTAGTATACCCTATGTTAATTAAAGGAAATCTATCAGAACCATAACCCAGCTCAAAAGGCAATTGTCACAAGATGTCAGAATTAGTACAAAATTAGGACTGGTCTTTCTGTACCTGATAAAGTGCAGTTTGGCGCCTTGTTCCTGGTATCTGGAAATCAGAAAAACAGTCTGCATAACGATCAGAGCAAGAACAGGGGCCCTCACAGGGTTCTTATTACAAGCCCTTTAAAGCTGCATGTTTTGATAAGCTCACAAATACACACATACCAATCCTAAAATATAATATCTTTATCTTTTATTTGACTACCACACATGCTGCAATTATAGCTGCTATGAAAGCTGCTCCATTGCCTTATAATTTATGGAAAGACAGTGTAAAAGCACAAAGTCATGGAATGTAGCCAAATGAGGGGAATTTTTGAAAACTTTCAATAGGTAGTGAATCTGAGTTATAGTTTAAATACCGTGTGGTCTGTTTTAGGTGATCAGAGGAAGAAATATCGCTGACTCCCTTTCAGTCCTGGAGACTTATTGCTTTATAACTGATGGAAAACAGGACTTTAGAAGCTCTTTTTTTCTCATTTTTTCTTAATAGAAGAAATTGAGGAATGAGTTAACCATCACATCAGGTAATTTATAGTTGGGCTTGGAATTTTTATTTTTAATACGAACACACACACTGAGTAGGGAATTAATTTTGCATAAATAATGATAAAACTTAAAACTGTGCTTCAGAGAGTGTGGAAAAATACTTTCTCTTTAAGATGTCCCTATTCACTACTCCGTACTTGGAAAAGAGTATGAAATTTCTGATTTTGGGTTTGCCCTATCTTGAATCTTCCTTAGTGGAAGAAGATGCTATTTAAACTTTTGTGTGTGTGTGTGTGTGTTAGAATATTTTTAGGTTAACACAGAATGAAGCAGGTCAAGTGTTAACTTGTATAGCTTGTGTCAGAGTTATACCAAAATAGAAAAGCAGACTAAGTCAATGATGTGAAAGCATCATTTAAGGACCTAAGTCAAAATTCGGATGAAATATCTATGGAAAATCAGTCCAGATGAAAGAAAGTTGACTCTGTGTAACTGCCCCGGGAATGAGAAACCACCTCCTGATTATTATTGTTTCACTTGCCTTTTTCTTGGAGGCAAGTTGAACAACTTTGGAATAGTTCAGAGACCACCCAGGAGGCAGAGACCATCTTGCATGTTCATGCAAACAAACCAACAAAAATGCCAATTTATGAAGGCGGCTTGGGTTTCTCTTGGACAATTTTAAAAGAAGCTTTGTAACTTTAAGCTCTCACCTTATCTTTTCTTTTGAGATTTTTGCACTCAATACTGACCATTTGCAGGGACCTTTCATTCCCAACAGCTGAGATTGAGGCCATATGAAACTGAGACCAGAGAAGAATAAGGCCAGTGAATTACCTGGTGTTCACCCCAGACGACATGGTGTGATTGGCTGTGGTGGTCCCTTTATGACCTTGGTCACACCTGCTCATCTGTGGGGCTGTCATGGGCCTGTAATGAGGACAGTAACTGCCACATCAAAATGACAACAACTGAAGTGGGAACATTTATAAAATTCTCCAGTTTTGGAGCTCACAGAAGTTTTGAGTTAGTCTTAAAAAGACAAAGGACCTGATTTTGAGCTTTTTCTGCACATTATTTTGCCATCTCTGTTTCAAGCAGCACTTTAAAGGGAGCATTGACTCCCATGGGTCTATACATACACCATGATTTCTTCCATTTCTTGATTTTGAGTAATAAACTATGACACTTCAAACCAGATACTTATGAATCAGACTTCTAAACCTGTACTGATTATGTGAGAGTTAAGAGCTCATTTTTCAACTCGACAGGTACCAGGAAGTTAATCATTCTAGACAGTAAGTAAAAAGGAAAGATTTACATACTATTTTGGCCACCTGCCCCATAATCAACCACTCTTTTTTTTCTGAGAAACTATCAAAGAAGGAAAGAATCTTCCCAGTCAAAATTTTACCTACGACTGCTCAGGGAAGTGAGTAAATTAGTCTCTACTGTAATTTGGTAATTTCAGTGCTTAGACATAGATTCAAACCATCTCCTTTTATATCTACAGGGTTCACTATAAGTATTCAGCAAATGCTGCCTCTGTATCAGCGTCTAGACATGGAAGGCACGATACAGCTTTTGAAAGTAATTCTTGTATGAACTCTGTAAGGCTTGCTTCTGTGATGCTCATTTTCTGTATGGGTGTGGCTGGAATGAGTAAATTTTACCCATCACACCACCCCTTCTGTTCCCTTCCCTTGCTGTGGTAGGCACAATAAAAAGGTGGCCCCAAGACCTGAGACCCATGGACTCACCCCAGTGATTATGTTACCTTATATGAATACAAAAGGGAGATTATCTGGGTAGGTCTGATGTCATCGCACCAGCCTGTAGAAAGCAGAGTATCTCTTAGTAGGGGCAAAGATATTCTGAACTGACATGGATTTAGGTGCCATTGCCAGCGGGGAGAGAGAGGGCAGATGAGAAGGAATGCAGATGCCTTCCACAGGCACAGAGGGGCCCCTGGCTGACCGAAAGGAGAGGAACTTCAGACCTGAGGCTGCACGCTCCTGGATTCTGCCAAAAATCTGAATGAGTTTGGAAGTGGATACTTCCCCAGCACTTCCGGGAAGAGCCCAGACTGACTGTCACCTTGATTTTGGCCTTGTGAGACCCTGAGTGGATAAACCAGCTGAGCCTGGCCAGAATTCTGACCTAGGGTAATAGGAGGTGATGAATGTGTTTTGTTTTTAGCCTTTAAGATGTGGTGGAAAACTAATACCAATAATACTTGTAATATACTTATTTATGTGTTACTACCTATATAACTTACATTCTTTTTCATGAGTAAAGTTTAGGGTTGTGAAGTGAAGTTGGATACTTATCTTTTTGTTAAAACAGCAAAGCCAAATTTATTGTGAATGATCACAAGCTACCAAGGAGGCTAGTTTTCCACTCCACCAAAAGAATATTAAAATGCCCTAGAATACTTAAAGCTACAGAATTTTCAGTGTGAGAGCTCCACCCACAACCCTTCATGGGTTGTTGGGTTAGTGACTTTTGAACAAGTTAATTGACTTGTCCTTATGAAAGAGTAGAAAGCACCATTATGTGATATGAGGAGAAATAACTAAAGTGGTCCTTGGAGGAAATGGACTGTTTTTCTTTTCTGTACTTGTAAGAAGGGGCTAGTGATGGAACCACATGGGTGCATAAGAGTATAAGTCTGATATTTCTCCTTAGGTTTTTCTTCCTCCTAGGACTTGCATGAAACCGTCATGAAAGCATTAGGACTATTTCCCGTTTGGAAGAGGCAATTTGTCACAGCTCCCTGTCCCACCACTTCTCATTTCCTCAGTTTAGGTGCCGATGAGCCCGACGAGCACATCAGCAGAGGTCTGCCAAGTGCTTTGGGCCATGTTCTGTTGCCTAGGCTGGCAATGCAGCTCATGATTAGAAATTAAATGTATACTGACCTAATGAGTAACACCCTCACTCAGTCTCTCATTTGCTGGTGCACACTGAAAAAGTCTTCTCTGGGCTGAGGGATTTTGACTAGCCCTCTCATCAGCAGAGCATAATGGGGCTGGGGAAGTTAGTGCCTTTTGGTGGGCACCAAAAATCATAAAATGTTAGGCTAAGGATGTGACCAAATGGGATGGAGGAGCAAAGACACCAACTGAGAGAGAAGATATCCCCACCTGCACTCTGGGAAGAATATCTCCTTCCGGCTAATTCTGGATGGGAAGGAAGAAGGAAAGCTAGTCATCTGCATGCTGTCCAGCGTCCACCTGCCCCACTCCTCTCACTCTAGCTGTGGACCCCTAGCCACATGCCAGGGCCTTCAGTGCCTTCGGCTTATACACCCAAGGATATGGTGACAGGACTAACTTCTTGGAACTGAACACTGATGTCAATTTACCTTTCCATTCCCAAATCTCTCAGCCTTCTTGGCACTACTGAGTCTTATCCCACAGAGAATCTATGAATTCTGGCATTGGAATAAATTCTAGTATATGTTTGTTATGTAGTTTCTGAAATTACAGTGAAAAACAACTCCTCACAAACACAAAATAATAACAGAATGCATAGTTGGAATTGTAGACATTTCATGTCTCATAAAATAGTATGAACCAATAAAAATGTGGATCACATATTCATATTTGCTAAATGGGCCCTTTTATAGAAAACTTGCTCACCCCTGGGCTAACACTGCCACAGAAGCTTAGCAAGCTACCAGCAAATGTGTGCCTAGAAATTAGGTAGAACTATTTCTATAATTATTCTATAACTATTATTCTATAATTATTTCTATAACTATTATTATTATCATTCAGAGTACTCAGCACTGTTTACCCAAACGACTTGCAGTTTTAAGCCATACAGGGCTGAGTTTGGTCAGGTATCCATTAATAAAGACTGGGTTTTAGAGATTGTCAGCCACCATATTTTTGTCTTTATCTTTTCGGATGATAAAGACACTTAGGGCTGTGGCTCTTCCCGCCAGTGGGATTACCTGGTGAGGACCTCCACGCTATATAACAGGGCCTGTAGGGACGTTGCAAGAGCAGCTGTGGCAGCGATCTCCTCGCGGGCAGCAGGCACTGTCTCCACTTGGGACGTCTGCCTCTTTAGCTTTTGGAGGTAACATGGGACTAAAGCTTCCAGGACCATCAGCATCTGAAGACTTTAATCAAAAGAAAGACAACAGAGTCATATTTTACCTTCTTCTTTTGTTGGTTATGCCCTATTTGGAGCAGGGAGACGTGAAAAGCCTCTAGAGATATAATGAATTCTGAGCCTCTTTCCCACGCAAGTCAAGAGTAATTAAAGCTGCTGGAAATAGTGACCAACATTCGTTAATTAATTAATTGAGCGCCTGATAGAAGGTGATGAAATCCTGCTTTTAGGAAGCATATGATCTAGTTGGAATTAGCATACATACAATTGGTTGAAAGAATAATGATAATAGATGGAGCCCTAACAAGTTCATCTAACGAAATAAGCACCACAGTCATCAGCGAAGCTTCTACTCAGGCATTTGCTGAGAATGATTTTCCCGCTGAAACAGATTTGAGACAAGGTAAAAACCCTTCCCTCGGAGGCTGGCTTCTTCAAGGTGAAGCTATCTTACAAGAGTCTGTGGAAAAAGCCATGTGATGCACGTCTGGAAAAAAAATGCCTGCTAATTGGATGAATAATAAAATATTTCAACTGTAATTTGCTAATAAGAGATACATGTTAAATACAAGTATCTAAAAATAGTGAGGATAAAACTAAGAGCAAACACCAAGAGAATGCTGGTGTAAATAAGATCAGACAAAACTAACTTCAAGGCAAACATCTTTTTTTAAAGCTGTTAAAGATGAAAAGTTCATAATTAGAAAAGACAGTTGGTATCCTACCTGATATCAGACTTATCAGAAAGCTGAAGTAATTAAGACAGTGTAGTATCAGTGCAAGGATACACAGATAGACATGTGGAATGGAATAGGGAGTCTGAAACAGATCCACGGATACTTGATGAATAGCAAAGATGACACTGCAATGCAATGACGGAAAGGCTAGTTTTTTCCATAAATGGTGCTTGGTCTACTAGATAATTTGTATGGAAAAAAGAAATCTTGACCCTTACTTGACACACCAAAAATTAATTCCAGATGGATTATTAAGCTAAATGTGAAGGTAAAAAGAATAAAGCATCCAGCAGATAATATAAGGGGATACATTCATAACCTCGGGTTAACCAAGATTTCTTAAGAGGACCCAGAAAGCACTAAACAGTAAGGAGTCAAGTGACACACTGGACTACATTAAAATGAAGAACTCTCTTCATCAAAAGATAATATTAGGTCAGTAAAATTATAATTCATACCATCAGATATGTTATTTGAAATACATATAAAACAGTGGTGTGCTGGAATAGGCATATAATGGGTTAAGAAAGCCAACTGTGAGCATCTTTCCAACTTCATGTCCAATGATGTTACACTGATACCGTGTTTTCACCAATTGCTACATACTGGCAACTTGGTAATGCTACACATCAAGGACTCTTTTCTAGAGAGCTGGTTGTTTAATGTTTACCAGCACACCACTCCACATAAGTTAAAAAGTACTTACTCAGACTCTTTGAGCAAATTCTACATATCAAACCAAAAAATACTGCTGACCTCATTTAAAAATGGGTAGAAGACTTCAAAAACCAATTTGCTAAAGTAAAAAAAAAGTAAAAACATCAAATTCCACTAAACATCTGGAAAACTTCCAAACCTTTTAATTTGCAAGAGGGAAATGGAAATTAAAACCACAATGAAATATATCACTGCAAAACAACATAGCTAAAATTAACAAAAAAAATTGACAGCAAGTATTGATGAGGCAGTAGTGTACTGGACACATACATATGCTTGGGGAGTGAAAATTAACATAACCACTTTAGAAAACTTTTTGGTAATATCTACTAAAGCAAAACATAGAGATACTCTACAACCTAACATAGCATTCCACCCACAGAAATGCATACATGTGTACACACAAAGACGTATAAAAACACACATTGCAGCTTTATTTGTATAAGTTTCAAACTGGATATAATACAAATGTCTGTCAACAAGAGAATAAATAAATTGCATCATAAACATACAATAGAATATTTCAGATGAATGAAGAACAAATTGCTGTTATGCAGTTATGTGTAAGAATCTCATGAAATAATATTGAAAATATGGAAGTCAGACATTAAAACTGTGCACTATATTATTTCATTTAAATAGAGTTCAGAGGCAGGCCAAGCTGATTCGTCATGTTGGAAATCAGGAAAATGGTTCCTTTAGCAGATTGTTTATTTTTGTGGTAGTTACATAGCTGTGTTAACTTCATGAAATTCATGAACCTATAAAATTATGACTTTAAAAATTTTTTTTGTTTGAGTGTTATACTTAAATAAAATACATTTATTTAAAAAATGTAAGCAAAATAGGGGCTTGGTGTTACAAATGTTGAGGTCTTGTAAGAATTGTAAGTCTTGTTAGAACATCTCCTTGAGAGCTCTCCCAGGGAGCAGTTACCTAGGAGACTCTGCTGACCCCACCTAGGAATTAAGAACCCCTCTGGCTTAAACAGAGCAGAAGAGGGTACTGGGGAGGACAGATTTTTTTTTTAATTTAACATAACAATACATTTTGGTCTTTAACTCACAATGATAAGATAATTTGATTGTGAACTTTAATTCCTTTTTTTGTTTGTTTTCTGATATATTTTTGTTTGTTTGTTGTTTTTTTTTTAGGAAGAATTTTTTTTTTTTTTTTAGAGGGCATCTCTCATATTTATTGATCAAATGGTTGTTAACAACAATAAAATTCAGTATAGGGGGGTCAACGCTCAATGTACAATCATTAATCCATCTCAAGCCTAATTCTCGTCAGTCTCCAATCTTCTGAAGCATAACGAACAAGTTCTTACATGGTGAACGAATTCTTACATAGTGAATAAATTCTTACATGGTGAACAGTACAAGGGCATTCATCACAGAAACTTTCGGTTTTGATCACGCATTATGACCTATAAACAATCAGGTCAAATATGAATATTCGTTTGATTTTTGTACTTGATTTATATGTTGATCCCACATTTCTCCTATTATTATTATTATTTTTATTTTTAATAAAATGCTGAAGTGGTAGGTAGATGCAAGATAAAGGTAGAAAACATAGTTTAGTGCTGTAAGAAGGCAAATGTAGATGATCAGATGATCAGGTGTGTGCCTATGGACTAAGTATTAATCCAGGCTAGACAAGGGCAGCAAGACATCCACGGATGCAGAAGATTTCTCTCAAAGCAGGGGGGGTGAGGTTCTGAGCCTCACCTCTGTTGATCCCCAAATTCTCACCTGATGGCCCCCCTGCGACTGTGCCTGTCTTAGGTTGTTCCTCCCTTGAGGAATCTTACCCGTCTCTGGCTAACCAGTCATCTTCCGGGGCCATACAGGGAAATGTAAAGTTGGTAAGTGAGAGAGAAGCCATATTGTTTGCAAAGGTTAGCTTTTTACTTCTTTGCAGATTTATGCCCTGTGGCTTCTATGCCCAGCACTTGTCTCGAGGTATCTTTACCACCTGGAGGAATTATGATACTCGGTAAATTCGATATGAGGCACGAATTCTATTTAAGGGTTGTAATTAGGAAGGAAGAAGAAAAGCTATAGATGTAGCATATGAAGGAAACTTGGGAGGATTGATTATTTCTTTGACATATCTTCTTGTATAGTACCTTAAGCATGTATAGGTTTTAAACTACTAACTAATTTGCACACACATATTAACATAATAGGAATACGGTGACATAAACAAAGCAAATCTATAATTACCATCCATCTCCAGTGAAGCCAAGAAAACCATTTAGGCACCCTAGGCATTTGTGAAAATTTATCTATGATATGATGGATATTTTCCAACTGTACTTGAA